ACTCTGGCACAACAAAGGGTTATCTTGACCGAAATGCCACCTACTGCTCTGACCCCACCGTCTGCCCACCCCACCCACTCCAGCAACACCCACTGTGCGTCTCAAACACAACCAGCTGCCTCTCTGCCCAGAGTGCTCTCCCGTGGCCGTGCAGCCACATGGCTCCCTCCTCTCTTCCACGTCTCTGCTGAAACGTCACCACGTCAGTTTGTTGACCACCCTATTCAATGAGCAGCCTCCTTCTCTGACCCAGGCACCTACAACCCAACAGCACAGCACCTGAGGATGTGCCCGGGAACTCGGGCACTTGTTGAACTGCTCCGGGCTTCGCTTCTCCATCTGTAAAGGGTTAGGATTTACAGAGATGCTGCAGGATTCTTATCAGGATTACACGAGAGTACGTGCGCGTATGAAATGTGCTTTTAGTCGAGTGCCTGGAACCTAAAGTAAGCACTACATGTTAGCTCTGAAAATCTAAAAACAACCTAAAAGCAACTTTGAAATTAAGCTATTACCTAACTCATTTTATGTAATGGCAAAACTTAAACTTCTTAACTCATCAGTGACACAAGCTGACCTAAGCTAACCCGAGGCCACCTGTACCACCATTAAGGAAGTTAGTGGACGGGACATGTATCATACTATGTTTCTAAACTCCAAATACTCAAGCACTTTTGGTCCCAAAGATTTGGAGGAAAGGACTGTGCACCTACATTATTATTCTACTGTCGTTTTCTCTATAGCAATTATCACCATTTGATACATATAAATCAACTTACTTGTTTTTTTGTGTAACTCCCACCACCATAAAGTCAAGGATTATGTTCTATCATTGTACTCCCTGCAGCTGGAAAAGTGCCTGGGACATAGTAGGTGCTCAATAAATCCATATTGAAATGAATAGTTAAATTCTATGATGTCCAAAATACAACGTGTTAACATTTCTTAGGTAGAGGGAAGACAATTTCATAGAGGTTGGCGGCAAGTTGTTCTTCAACTCAGGAGGGGCAGCTTGGATCCAATTCCTTTGCGTGGCAGTGACGCACTTGGTAAGGGTGAAAAGCCCACTTGGTATTTACTCTCCTTATCTACCTCAGCTCCCCGGCATCACCCTCCTGCTACTCTTCCTGAACATCAACAAAAGCTCAGGGTGTCAATGATCAGTTCTAAAGAGAACTCCAAAATAAACTCTGTGTACACCAGTCTCCTGAGTGCAACACCTCACACAATTCCACGTGACCTTCCTTCCACAATAAATCACTCTAATCAAATTGACCATTCTACCAAAACCAGTTTCATTTCCTGACTTCCCTACCAGCCACACCCCGAGCCTAGGATTCACCTTTGAAGCTATGCACCCAGTCCAGGCAGTGCTTTCAGGGGTACAGCCTCCATCCTGGCTTTCATTTGCTTCCTTGTTAACTAATCTGCACTGAGCACCTCTATGTGCCAGGCACCAGGATACACTGAACAAGACAGACATGGACTTGGCTCAGAGTCCAGATGAGAAGTCAATGATCACACAAGCAACCACACTGAGAAGGAAACACTGACCTTGCAGGAAGCATATGTACACTGCAAGGCTAAGGAAGCAAGGAGAGCCTCAGTGAGGTTTAAGTTGAGAACTAGAAGTTCTTGACGGCCTTGCTGGGTGAAAATCTATTTGTGCAGGATGGCCAGGAAAGCATTACACTGCAATCACCTGACACATGGACAGCGAGCTGTCTGGTCCTAACGTAAATCCCACGAGAGCAGGCACCTCACCTCTGCCTTCCGCTCTGTCCCCAAGCCTGGCGTCGGCAGCTTTGCCAGCTGCAGGCAAACACTTGCTGGCTGAGGGAGTCGCCTCGGCTCTGCAGTCTGATTCCTCAGGATCCTGCGATGACTGGACAAGGCGATGCAGGTAAAGCCCTAGAGCTTTCTGCCACGTGGTAGCTGCTTGAAGATCAAGCGTCTCCCCTGTCCCTTTTTTCTTACCCCCGCAGAGCAGAAATAACCTTTGTTCAAGGTCCTGGCCAGGGCCTCATGTTCCCCCAGAGACCCACCAGGGGACTGAGAGTCCGAGGAGAACCACGTGACGGGTCCCAGGGCCTGAGGACGGACTCGGAGGTTTCCACTGTTCTGTGGTCACTGCATCAACTTGCAAGTTGAGCTGCTTACCCTGAGGATCTATCACCCTATACTTAACTTGTTACAGATATCATTTCACGTGTTCACAATGAAACATTTATTACAAATACTGTCACCTAATAATTTTAATTGATACTCAGAATTAAGCTTAGTTAAGTAGGGAAGATGAGTGCCATATGTTGGGCACCTACCACTCCAGTCTGTGGGCTGGCCCTATGGACTTTGGACTTTCAAGCTCCCATAATCGAGTCAATTCCTTGAAATGACAATAAATAAAAATACATCTCATCTACTGGTTCTGTTTCTCTGGAGAGCCCTGACCAACTCAGCCAAGCAAGAAGAACCAACTGGGCTCCCCCAGCCTTTCCATTTCCTCCCTACAGGCCGGTCCTTCGAACAGCCTCTCCTCTCCTTTATCCCTGGATCCCGGCACCAGGACTTCCATCTCTAGCAAACCTCAAAGACCCACAGTGAGAGCAAGACTCTGACATTTACTTCTTGGAGAAGCCTACCTGAGGGCAAGAGGGGAGAAAAAGAGCTCACTTCTGATCACTCCATGTGGATAGGAGGCGAGTTGGACGCTTGTGAATGCTTAACTTGATTTCTCTGGGCACCAGTTTCGCCAGGGGAAAAAAGGCTTGATAAGCCCACTTTTACCCAGTAATTGATATGTTTCTTTATATTGCTCTGAGTCTATTCTGAGAAAAAGCAGTTTGCTAAGTTAATAGTTAAGGGGATTTTAACCAAAGTTGGAAGGGTAGCCTTCAAATTCAATTCAACATTCATGCAAAGTGGTGTGATTTCACTAATAGCCTTGATGAGTACAAGAAAGTAGTATCATGAGTTAGAGAATTCTGCCAGATCTGATTGAGGGAAATGTCACATCATTTAAGGCACTCAACACAAAGCAAAATAGCAACACGCTTGTAATAAAGTAGCCCTTGGGACGTATGACGCCTACGACTCAGCGATGCTTCCAATGGTAGCATTTTAGAACTGGAAGCAGGTAGATCTTTTCATCCAGTCCTGTCCACTTGGCATTAGAGTATGCAGAAAGTGCCGGTCACACACGGGATCAGGATGTGACGGAACCAGTATTAAAAGCCAGGTTTTCCTCCTTGCAACTTAGTAACTTGGTTTAAAAGACAGTTACTGAACACGGAGGTGAGCTGACACTGAAATGTGGTCTCTTTGAACATCCACGTCCCTTTGGAGAGTGTTCAAGGATCCACATTATGTCCCAAATTCATGTCTTGTTGGTTAACTTTGCAGAAGATTAGGTAGCATTATAAATAACTCCTTGTCACTTTAATTCAGGAATACTGGTAATAATCTAGCTTTCTCAAGTGTGTTCCTATTTAAAGCAAAAGCAGGGGAGGGATTAACAATCTCACACTCACTGAGGGAGCTGAGGCTTGAACTCCTTGCCCAGAGAGGGGCCAGGCACCCTCCACATCTCCACTCTCCCTGGTACTTCAGTCAGTCTCCCGCAGTGACTCCCCGACCTGGGGAATCTACAGCTCAGGTTTCACACCCAGGTGACCTACCCTTCAGAGGCAGAAGTTTCTCTTTCTAAAGACACACAGCAGAAAATGCACTAATCCCCCTGGCCGTCCTGCACCGCCGTGAGGGCGGAGCTTGGACAAATGTAAGGGCAGCTCTCACGTTCTGGGGCCGCTGTGTCCCCAGCACTGGGCTCCACATCTCATCTAAATCTCACAATAACCCTCAGAGGCAGCCATCACTCCCCATTTTATAGAGTAGGAAGCAGATTCAGATTAAATAAATTATAAATAAATTTCCCAAGTTCACAGAGCTAGTAAATGATAGAATAGCATCTTGAATCCTACCTTTAGGACTCAAAAAGTATGTTTTCCCACTTATGCTGTGGTGCCCCCAAAACGCAGGAAGCCCTCTCTCACATCTGGTCTCCATCACTGACACTGCTCAGGCCTCTGGTTCTTATCCTGAGTCAGGGTGAAATGTGTAGGCACTAATTTCCATGAACTAGGAAAGTGACTTGGTTTTGTTTCTAAGTGGCTCTTTTGTTGAAAAGTTTGTTCATGAATGCTTTTAAACTTTTGTTTAAAAGTTTGTTCATCATTAAAGAAATAATTCTACTCCGTGCTACCTTAACTAGCTGCTACTGACATCAATTGTGTTATTAAATCATGAAGAGATACCTAGTAGTTTCTGCTCAGACTAGAAGACAAGAATTAAAGTGCTAGTCCAGCTCCATTTTCCAAAAGGCGTAACAATCTGTCTTGCTAGAAAAACCAACACAAGAATGCTAATAGGTAGGGAGTTTCTTACGGAGGTAACGAAAATAATCTACAATTAGATTATTGTGATGGTTGCACAAACGTGTGAATATACTAAATCATTAAATTATAAATTTAAATTAGTAAATTTTATAGCATGTTAATTATATCTTAATAAAGATGTTTTAAAAACCACAAAGGAGATCTGAGTGCTCAAGTTTCATTTACCTAAGAAAATCAGGGAATATTAATTTTATCCTATTAGTCTTCTTCTGTATTTACCCCAAGTGTCAATTTGCCTAATCCCTATTATTGAAGTATTAAATACAGAAATAAACACGAACTTTATGCAAACCTGTAACATCCAGACTTATAAGTAATATCAAGCAATGACTACATGCTCTATAAAAGGACTAACTAGTTATGGCCCTCCATTAAGTAGGACTCGTGTAAGACACACACACACGCACACGCACACGCACACACGCACACATACAGAAAACTAACTACAACTCACAAAAGCACTTTTTGAAACCCCATTCAGTACTCTTAGCAGGAGTTACAAACATTTAAAAAATTCCTCCCGTCGGGAACATAAGCACTATTTACCTTGTGACAAGGAACCAAGCAATTTGACTGAAGTCTGGAGAGGGTCTCATATACGTCTTAATATGTGGCATGGCATTGCTGCGGCCCGACGTGTCGGCTGACCATTTGCTAGTGATGGGAAAGACAGATCACTAGTTAGAAAGCACAGATCGGTCATGGTCCTAGGATTAGGAAACCGCATGAAAAGCAAAAATACAGTGAGGACACAGTTTCCCATGATATGACCTGTGATAGCTTCTTCAACTGTTCAGATAACAGAATAACCCGTGTTCAGCTTAGAATGCAGGTATGTAGAAGAAACATTTACCACCACTCACAAAAAGCACTGTGATGTGCTAGCGCGTGGCCTTATCATCTTCTTTGTTATGAATATACACACACATGTGTATCTATTATTTCTACTGTACATCTAACTGCATGTATGTCGGCTTAAAAGCAGGAATTGTGCTCCTGTGGCACATCACTGGGTAGAAAAGGCTCACCAAACGCTTGCTGAATGAACAAAATACAAAATGGGAAAAACATAATCAGTATATCAAAATGGAATGTTGAAAAGCAGGGGGATAATTCAGAAATAACTCAGTCAAATGCTGATGCTCATATGTCTGAGTTTGGTTTCTAAGTTTCCTACATCGCAGGCCTAAGGTTCCATGGGAGAAAATGACGTATATCATGAGGCAACAGTCCTTCCTTATAAGAGGATGCTCCCTCAAGAGAGCAAACTGTAAGAGCAAAATCAAGATTAGGGAGATGCATCGTTAGATTATCAAATTCACGTGTGCAAAGATACTACTGAAAGGCGCTCAATTTAAGAAAGGCTCCAGGATGACATTCTGAATTAGGCTGGAAGCAACTGAAATGTAATCTCCCTTTGTTTCTGGTGTCCAGCACAATAAATGCCTGTTGACGCAAGTATGAAACTAGAATTGGCCTCGGACATGCAGGATGTGCAGCCACTCAGCCAGGGGAGAGGATGAAGGGCATCCCGTTCACCCGAGCACCTGATCATCTGCTGACCTCTTGCAATGAGCCAACGCCACCTGGGAGAACAGCAGCGTGGACTCCTCCTCCGGCAAGCCTGCAGTCACACAGCGTATATGGGTGTGCAGACAGAAGGACAGTGCAAATAAGAACTACAATGCCGCTTATGTAAATTCTCAACTTCCCCACATGTTCTGTTTATTCATCTTTTTCTTGTATGCAAATATTTAAACAGAAACCACGGAGATAAATTTGACTCTTTGGTACTAAAAACCAATTCCAAGAAATGTCCAGAACCTTGTTTCAAATTATTTCTATCACGAACATATGTAGATTGAAAAATATAGCTCTGTTATGTAAGGTTCTTTTCTTTAAAAAAAAAAAAAAGAAATCAGACTGACAAATAATGTTCTTATTCCTAAAGAAGCAACAGCAACATTCTAAACTGACTACTTACTGAAAATAGGAGTGGAGCCAGTTCTGTTTCTCTGCCGTCTGGATGCTATAGGGAAGAGAGCCTCCAGCTTTTAAAAAAGAAAAATAAAATAAATAAATAAAAACTATCGACTATGGTTTGAAGAGCCTTCATTAAGAAGAAAATCTACAGAAACAGCTGGAAGGTAAAAGAAAACACTACTTATCGTTTGGAATAGTTCTTCGAAAGAAAAAACGGCTATACTTGCATTAAGTATGCTCTCTCAAGGGGGTTCCTTTCTTGGGGATTCACATTGAATAGTAAATGCTTACTATCTGAATACAAAAAGGGGCTGGTAATTTAACATCTGTGGCAGCACGGATCTGAAATGTTAGGAAAGAGCACAGAACGAACCCAGGCCCGTCCTCGCTCAGGGGAGGCACCCTCATGCACATTTTGCAAGATGAGGTCTGGTGCACCATTTCTGCCCAAGATCAGGTCACTGGGGGTGTGGGGGTTGGGGGGAGACTAGATGAGAACTCAGTTCTCCTGCCTCCTTCACTTTTTATACTGATACTTCCAAACAGACTTTGTACTAGCTAAACAGTCTCACAAATGAAATAAAATGATCACTGAAATAAATTAAAATGTTCAGGAACAGTTACATTTTTAAAAAGAAATTCTAAAAGCCATATTCCTTCAAAGAGAATAAAGACACAGTTTCAAGTGGAAAGACAGAAGTCAATTTTTGCTCATCTCTGAAAGGAGGAAAGTTCCATTGTAGATTCACTGGTGACTTTCCAAACACCTGCTGGAACTTCTCCATAGTAGTCTACATCCAAAGAAGGCTTTAAATTTCTCTGACATATCGGATAAGGCAAGTTGTATGTCTCACTACAAACAACTAACAACATATTCAAGGTTTCAGGACCAGTTAGAAAATAGCTTTATCGAAAATACCATGTTCTTCCCCATTAAAAAGCACACTTTGTATGGATCTAGCCTATTAGAAGTAAAGAAAGGAGAAAAAAAAAAAGAAACCATAAACCCCCAAATTGCCATATCCTTGAGTCCCAGTGAAATAAGTTTCGCCATTAAAAAGCAACAAATGGGCTCCAAACTCCATTGAGATTTTTCTGGCCGGGTCACCAGTAGTTTGATAAGCAATAAACGGACCAAGTTAGTCTAATTCAGAGAACTCTGCTTCCAGCCACAAGCAAATGCTAACCAGGTTTTCCTCCTTCCCGGAGCCATTACGCTGTTTGGGTTTATGGTTAATACCTCCTGAATGTACCACGTAGGGGGGCTGCTGAATTCCAGAGAAGTTCAGTGCCCAGCACTGGTATAAGGGCAACAAGACAAGATTGGAAGACGTCTACAAAACCATCCTAGGATTTTACAGATGCAGCCCTTGAGAGAACAGACGTATCAACCAGGTTAAACCAAGGGTTTCATCTCAATATTAAGCATAAGTTCCAGACGTTCAATCTTATCTGTGTCTGGGATTCAAATCTGGAAGAACCCCACAGTACGTCAGGCAGGGAGGAAGCGGAGGCAGAGAGAGGGCAGAGAAAGGTCTTGGCAGGGAGCTATCGGGGGTGCTGCTTTTATCTGGACATCTGATCTGGACAACTAACTCGCTGGTGGTAGAGAAGGGAACCATCTTATTGGTAAAAACTCAAGAGGGTTATTGTGAGGATTAAGTAACATCCTAACTGCTCAACTGCATGGCATCATCTCTGGAACATATTACCTACTTTCATGATGCTTCCCCAGTTGAAAGAGAATGATCTCCAAATTTCTAACCAATACGTTTCTCATCTCAAGGAGGAAGGTGTTCTTATTACTTGTTTTAAAAAGTCTACCAGGGCATTTATGAAATATACATAGAAAACACAATCGGGACAGTTTCTCCAGCAGTTACCTGGATATCCTTCTAAGCTGGTCCGCACATTTTCCACTGAAGGATAGATCTAAAAATAAAGGAAAACAGTAACACTTGGAATGTACGATGTTGAAGAAACTATTTGTTAAAAGGAATAAAGATTAGTTTTTAAGAAAATGAAAATCTCAACTAAATATACTTAAAGACTTAGAAAATGTGCTTTAAGTTTCAAAAAGTTTTCATGTTACTGAAAAAACTCAACTTCTAGTAATTAAATTATAGAAAGCACTGTAGTCAATGAAGAGAATTATGTTTCAAGTTGAATATTTTTCTTCTGAAATGCCAAGTCAAAACTGAATTGAACACAAAATTAATTATTAATTCAGAGGTCTCCAAATAATTAACAAAGCTCATAATTCTGTGGGCAATGCTTTTTCAAATTTTTTTTCCCCTTGGCATGACAACCTGAAGGAAGGAATGGGAAATGTGTGGGCTAGTCTGTGGCTGAGATGGGGCTCTGCACGGAGCGGTCCGCTCCCAGCACCAGATCATGCTGGGGCCACTTGATTACAGATGAGGATGCTAATGTGTTTCCATGCAAATCCACTGAATAGAACCTCTCTCTCTGACAAGGAGGACTGATTGCATGCTTCTCCTGGACTAGAGAATGGAAACAGTTAACTTGAGGAGGAAAATCACTCACCAGATGAAGAGGGACAGCACTTCCTGGGGTCTTGCCCTCCATCCCCAGTGTCACCAAGCTCTCTTTAAACTCAGAACACAGCCATTTTGACTCGTCAGCCCCCATGGAACCAATGCTTGAAAACTGACCAACTATCGGCCAAGACTGTGCCTTTGGTATGGACGAGGCGTGCTCTTTCAGAAGCTGGGAGAGGATAAAAAAATGAACGTTACAGTCACTTGACTCCGGTGAGCAGAAATGCTGGGACAACTCAGAATGTGCTTTCCCACCCTTGGAATGACTCATTCAAAAGGAAATGCTGAAAATATCAGCAATCAGTTGCATACCCATGTCCAGTTTTTTTCTTCTTCTTATTTGGGAAATATTTTTAAATACTAAAAATATTTTACTTTAAAGAAATAGTGGACAGAAGTATTCCTCTCCAAAATTCTTTGATTTGTACTAAAAGCAAAAACAGATTAAAAAAATAAAAGATCCATTTTAGTTGCCATCTCAGCTAAACCACCAACCTGCCACATGCAACTAGACTTCCGCCTTGAAATCTTAATTCTTTAAAATACCTAAACAATATTGAGAAGGTCCAACTATTGAACATTTAGACTCTTTATCATTTGAAAGAGGTTTAACACTTGGGCTCCAGGCAGCCGTAACGCTCTATAAATAAAAGAGAATATATTTACATGTGGCACATACTGCCCTAAGCTCTGTGGAGGATTGACCCGCATTTCCTGCTTTGCTTGCTACTGATGCAAAGCTGCAGAAACAATTCAGAAAACATTTGGGAATTTCACCCACTTAAACACGAACTGAGTATCCACCTAGAGGCTGGAGAAAGGAAGAAAAATAAGCTGCAGTTCCTGCCCCAGTCGAGCTCACATTCTGATGGATGTAGTGTTACGTTTAATGTGTGTTAGTTTCCTTACCACAGAGCAGGCACCAATATTGATAAGCACACTTCCCAATAAAGCCCAAACAGTTCTCAGCTTCCACCTGGGGTGCAGCATGGTGGGGGACGCAGGGCTGAGCTGACAACCACAAGACTGTTCCAGGCTCAGCCCTTATGGGTTACATGACCCCAGACAAGTCCCAGGGCTTACACGTCAGTGAAACAGACAGCTGATCACCCCACATCTTCCCTGGAAGGCAGCTGTGAAGCAGCACAAGCTACTGGCTGTGCAAAGTGGTTTCAGACTCTAAGATGTGACTCAAAGATCAACAAGATTGTGAAGCCAGACAATGTGCGTGATCACCTGGCCTTTCTGAGCCACCAGATCACAAACCAGTAACCCCTAGTGCCTCCTGAACACGCAGCATGTGCCTTGCATTCAGTTTTTCAGTTGATCTTACACAATTCCGTGAGGGAAGTACTGTTACTATGCTCATTTTATGAATGTCTAGAAGAGCAGGTTAAGAAGCAAATCAAGGTCACATGGCTTGCAAAGGGGTCAGGATTTGGAGCCAGACGTGCCAGGCGTGCGTATCTGCCTGCAAAGCTGTGCACTGAGCCAGTGTGTGCTACCCTCCTCCCTAGGTCAAGACATAAAGATGGTGGCTTCAAGACCTTGCCAGCTTTCAGCTGTGGTCTCACTTAAAAAGCAAAATTCAAAATTTTCATTAGCCAAGGAGAATTCTCACATAACATAAATATCGTACAGAAAAAGACAGGCTTTTAAGAAAGCCACTTTTGGGAATTTATTAAGGTTGGTAATCTGACTCCTAGAGAGAGATGAAGAAAACTTTAAGCTTTAACTTGCTTGCTGTTTTATTTTGTTAAAGGTCTTTCTGGGTTTATTTTCACACCAGCAGCAAATATCATTTTCATAATTACAATTCTCACAGGGCACTGGTTTAGTAAACAAAATACACAGCTGCAGCCTTCACACAACACTATTTTCTGTTCTTTGTTGAATTTGTGTTAAAAGTCCTTGACGTGCTGATCAAAAGCTACAATACTTGTGTGAATGAAAAGTCTCAATTATCTTTATTACAAGAAATAAACTAAAAATCGCCCATATACTTTTGCCATTTAGAACTGTTGACTCTACACCTATAAGAGACAAAACATTAAAATGCAATTATTGGAAACTCTAATTAGACAATCAATGATCAAGTGCCTACTATTTGCCCAGAATTGTGATAAAGATATATACGGAGCTGCCATCAAAATGTACCAATTAAAAATAAAAAAGGAGACATTATACATTTAAAATTTTAAAAATGTTAAAATAGTAAAAATTCTGTTACCTTCCTAAGCCTAAAATGTCCCCAGTTATCTTTCTGATTTCCTTGAAAGCGTCCCGGGGTTGAGCCAATAAGGTAAATGCTAAAAAGATATAAAACGCAAGTTATTGAACACAGTGATTTATGGACCCCAAGTCACAAAACAGTCATGAAAACTAACACAATCATGAAATAGTCCAAGAGCCAACCGATTTTTTTGAGATGCCTCCTCAGAGTAGTAACTGATATTTAAAATCATTTTTGAGCGCGTCAAGTAACGGGGTGTAAGGTACCACGAGGTGGAAGGTACACACAAAGACATGACTAATTTTAAGAGCCCTCCAGTGGGGAGCTGCAGGTGGAATGTGTCCCGGCCCCCACTTCAGCGCCTGAGAACTGTGAGGCACAGTGACAGGACCCGCTCTCAATATGCCATGAGGGACAGCCAGATGTCACTCCACCTCTTTCCAGGCCCCTGCATCCTAGACCCCACGTGGCTCTCAAGGTTGACCTACTGTGAGCACCCCGAATGGCTAAGAGGCCACATACTTTGTTTCTGAGAGGTCGTGCTCCTGGATGGTATCTATCCACTCCTTGAGGGGAGCAGCGTTGTAAGCCGTCAGGTAGCTGATGAGATCAGCTTTGAAGTGTGTGGTTGATTCTCCAGATCTGTGGGCTCCGTGGACGATTCGTGGGTACAAGGGGCTCAACCATATTCTGGAATGGAAAAAAAATAACCTTTCGCGGTCAGGAGCACAACTGATCACAATGCTTATCTCCATACTGATTTGGCGCTCACCCTAAGGAAGAGGTGAATTCTCACCATCTCTCTCCCCATGTTTTAAGTCATCATCCTTTTAAAATGTGAAGTAAGTCTGATCGCACCACTCCAATGGCTTCCATCGTATCTGGAGTTATTTCTGAACTGTGAATTTAAGACCTGGCCTCAGCCTGCCTCTCCCAACTCAATTCCTCCAGGCTCCCTGTTCATTCACACACTTTCCTTATTATTCCCCCTCTGACCTCACTTCTATACTGCTTGTAAAGACTTGATGACAACCGAGTTCCACTCCTAACTGTTAGAGCAAATCCACACCAGTAACCCCAGCAAGATTTTGCCCATGCCTATGTCAGTGTAGCTCTTTAGCCAAATGGAAAATAAAAGCTACCTATACAAAGGGAAAAAAGGTGCAAATCTGTTTTCAATAAATAAATAAAATAAAAAATAAACTCATTTTCATGATGCAAACACTACAGCAATTTGAGATACTTTTATATCCTATACTTTACCGGTGTCTGTACAGACCACACTTAATTGTATTACATTAACACCAACCTCAGACTTTCAAATAATTCAATAACAAAAAAACCTTGACGACATCTTTCATTTCATCAATTCCTGGTCAGTGTACTTTGCCAAAACTCCTGTATCATGCCCACAAATGGAAAACAACCATGCCTAAACCCAGTCCCTCTATGAACCCATCCATGGTGGGTTAGAGAAACATGGCTTCAAACCTCTTGTGCTGTTTCTTCAACTGCAAAACCCAGTTAGCAGTCCTGCCCCACAAAGCGCCCACGAGGCTGAACAGGGTCCAACTTCAAGAAGCACCAAGCAAGCATGAGCAGTTCCTGCCTCTTCCCCTTCCACAGCCACTTCCACCCCAGTTCTACCCATTAAGCCAGAAGCAGGAGAGAAATCGCCCAGTTCCTTGCCCACCTGGCAGCCCTCAAAGGAGACTGGCAAGAGGCAGGCCATCAGGGCAGGCAGCACCCAGAACCACGAGGATCCTGGCTGTGAGTCTTCTGAACTCTGCACCTGTTTCTAGCAGGGAGGCCACGCCTCCCTTCCTGCCTGGAGACTCCCTCACACAGGGAGCAACACGTGTGACCAGGACGGTGGTCCAGGCTCTGGAACCGGATCTGCTTCTGCCTGGCTGTGTCATTTTGGGCAAGCTCGGTGACCCCTATGGGCCTCCCTCTGCCCAGGTGTGTGACACGACCATGTCGGGCCAGATGGATGGCAAAGGCCTCTCTCCCCTCCCAACAGCAACTTGGAGCCCACAGGCCAAGTGGGGCCCCACCAGATAAGAGGTTCACTGGCAGGAGGGGTTCTGGATGAGGCACATGACAGATGAAGACTTTCTAAACCAGGATACTGAGACGTGAGGCATCCTGACATTTCACAAAATTAGATGAGAAGTTCTCTTGGGCCAAATCATTTTAAGAGTGAGAAACTATCAGGTGGATGAAGAAGCTGGTGAAAAGGACACCAGGGTCACTGGCGGAGGAGGGAAGACTCAGTGCCACGACAGGCTGACTGTGAAGTAGGATTCCATGAAAGAACTACTTTTGAATGTTTTTAAAAAATTACAACCCACAACGTGAAACTGCAAAGCATCCGAGAGTAGAATCTAGACTAACCGTGAGACAACAGGACCCCCGCACTGGGGCGGCTGCAGAGGGAAGCGGGAAGGTGGAGGGAGGTTTCATACCCTTGGTACTTGGAGTTTTGAACCACGTGAAGCTACTACCTAGTCAACAAATTTTTAAAAACATTTAAATTAAAAAAATTTTTAAGTAAAGAGAAAAAACACTTAGGCCCTTTGCCCTTTACGCTTCTCCACAGCAGCCAGCTCAGAGATGCCTGGGGCAGCATGGCTGTACAAACTCAGGCTCCAGAAGGAGCTGGAGGCCATGGCGGGACCCTCTGAGCCATGTAAGACTGAGCACCAACCCGATAAACCCCTTCAGTTTTGTGAATGACTGTTCCCCAGAGAACAAGCTGCATCAATGTCTTTCCCTTTTAGACAGGGCTGCATACAAGTCCCGAGTCCTGAAGCCCAAGCTGGCAGCTTAGAAGCTCTAGGGGAAACAAAGGCTGGGTTAGCCAGAACTCGGTGGATCAGGAGTCCTGTGGCCAAGGCTGTTAGGGATGGAGTGTCCATCCCTGCCACCCTGCGCCCACTGGACACTCGGAAACTAGAACATGTTTGTAGGGAAACCATCAGGCAGTGGGGATGTGGGCTCAAGCCACCTGCCATGGTGGGGAAGGGGAGGGAAGAAAGATGTCTGGCTGAGGGAAAAGACTTTTTCAACCTGGAAAGGCCGCGTGAAGATAGGTAACTGTGTACATGGCACATTCAGGTAGGTGATGGCCCAGGGGATGCAGGCGGGAAGGCTGTTTAGCTCCACCTAAGGTGTAACTCGGGCTCAGTCAGAGCCTCAAATCCGGGGTCTCGCCTGGGCTGGGCAATGCTACGGACAAGGGAAGCAGGGGAGGATGCGGGCAGAACACTCAAACCCTGGAAGGGCAGCTGTCTTCCAACACAGGGAGGCAGAGACAGCAGAATGGCTTAAAAGAAAGAAAGGGGAACTAAAGGTGTCAATGACAGGCTCACTGGGAGGGAGAGCAATGGGTGAAGCTGGGTTTGAGCAAATCCCTGAAAATAAACCCAATCTTCTCCTATGAGATCAAAAACTAGATCTAGCATATGTGCACCAAGGACAAAGGGTTAGTAATTAAAAAAAAAAAAGCATGAAAATCCTTCCTGTTCAGTTCTTTTGAAGATTCACAACCATACTTCAGGCTCTGAAAAGACAGCAGGTGAGATTTGTTTTATGGGAAACAAAGCATTGGGGGTGAGAGGGTTATTTTTAGCGCACAGTCAACCCCCAGGTTTTCCTCTGATACCTGCTGGGAAGTGGCCGGCGTGGGTACAGGGGATGCAGGGTGAGCGAGGACCAAGAGAGCTGACAGGTGGGTCTGATGGGAAAAATAATGGGTTTTTTACCCTCTTTCTGTCCCAGGTCCTTGGATCTACTTACCTATATAATGTACATATGACGCTATTTTGTAAAAACTAGGAAAAACCTACGGTGTATAAATATTTCTGTATGTTTACATGTACAACAGAGACGGTTGTGGACGACCACGTGCTAAACGGTGAACACCTGTTACCTCAAGAGAGGAAGTGGGGGAGGCAGTAAAAGAACGCTATCACTTTTCATAGGTATTTCTTTTCTTTTTCTTTTTTTTTTTATTATTATTTTTAATTTAATTAATTTTTTCTTTTGTGCGGGGGTATGAGGGGTAATTAGGTTTACTTATTTATTTATTTTTTTTTTATAGGAGGTACTGGGGATTGAACCCAGGACCCTGTGCATGCTAAGTATGTGCTCTACCACTTGAGCTATACCCTCCCCCCTTTTTATAGGTATCTCTTTTCTATGCCATAATTCTGGGCTTCTTTTTTACAATTAAAACATAGGAGAAAAAAGAGAACAAAGCCACGTTCTGGCTTTTGCCTTTTCTCAGCACACACAGCGACCACTGAGAAGTGAAGGGAATTCTACAAACCCCTGTGTTTTCTGGTGCCAGTCGGCGTGGATGAGGTTGGCGGTGTGGATGACAACCCGGAGGCCTTCCTCGTAGAGCAGTAGCATCATTTTCCTTTAAAAACAGAAAAAGGTCAAAAAGCATTAACAGCACTTTCATAATACACAATACTTTCTAATACAAATCCAATAGCTAAAGGAACTCCTTAAACTCTTATAGTACCCAGATGTTGAACATTTACAGCCTTCTTTTTTTCCCACACATCATCGTTATCAAAGCCTGCTTAAGTGACAGGCGGAAAACCACCCTCCAAAACGCGCCAGGCATCAGGTGGTAAATGAACTTGTGCTCCGACCCGTCCACGAGGCCCGTACTGATGCTTTGAGCTCCTCCTGGCTCCAGCCTCGCTCCTTAATATCTATTCAGCATCATCCACTACAACCAAGGAATCTTCTTGTCCAGTGTTTTCAGAGTATGGTCACAATCTCTTGCTACACTGTGGCTACCAAGCATTTTTTTTTAATTGCAAGAGAATAAATTAAAAACTCAAGAGTGTATCACAAACATTTAAGTACTGGGTCATGAAACTCGTTTTGGCACTTATCGGTGTGGATGCATGCAGCAGACTGAAATGACAAATGCATTTGCTGCTGCGGGCTGAAGCTTTAAGCAAAGTTTGGGAGATGCTTCATTTTTCAGGAGACTGATCTTTTTTCATGCCCCACAGTCACCAGACTTGCCACCGGCGTGTACCTGGGCTTGAGATGTCTTCCCCTTTCTTCTCCATTTACTCCAGTCAGCCCCAGAGATCCCTTTTTCATCCACGGGGCTTCCCCAGGCATCAGACGCTTTCTCTGAGCTTGATCCCAGTGAGAGGGGGGAACAGAGCTCCATCTAAAGCCCGGAGACCTAAGCGCCTGTGTTCATAGGTCAGAGCCATCCCACCCTCCGTAAGTCATTTAACATTCCAAAGTCGTTTGGTGTCCCCGGGTCTCAGTTCTTTACTTGTGACATGAAGAACCAATGCTGTGTTCACTCCATAGGACTGTTGTGAGAATGAAATACAATGTGTATTTTATTAAACGTGAAACCCTCCACGTGTACCTTCCCTTTACTCCATCAGGGCCTCGCTTTATTTTGTCATCTCCCAGTGGATGATTCCTGGCCTCCCGGTGGTTTTCCAATTATTTCAGGAATCTCAATTCTCTCTCCCCTCAACTAGAGATCCACTCAAGGCAGTAACTCTGCCTTGTTTCCACTGAGGCCAAAATGCTACTTAACACGTACTGAGGTAAGTCAGTTCAACGTGGGGGAAAAAAATGAACCACCGGTTCTCTCAAATAAACAACATGAATACTATTTGGACAGAATGGGGTCAGCATCAAAAAAAATACAGAAAAGAATACAAAAACAGAGAATGAGATTGAGCTTTTGCTGGAACGGGAACGGAACCCAAGCTGGCAAACAGTAAATTAATGCAAAGCTGGAGATGTGACAGCTGCTGGGCCAAGCTTTCTTTCTACTATGAGATGTGCTCCCTGAAATCTGGGCAAATTTACATACACAGTTGGCAAATTAGCAGCCGACTGTAATTAGGAATAAGCCAGTTATGAATTCATGATGGAAGTTTTACAAATATTTCCATTAGTCAAGGAATCAATTACCAGGAAAATCATGCACCAATGTCAGTGAATCCTATCAAACAGAAGTGAGAACCAGTCTAAGGGGAGTCCTGCTAATCTTTTCCTAGACAAGGTGGCACGTCCCAATAAGGTCACAGCTGAAAGTGGATAAAAACGCAAAGAAATGAGGTTCCCCTTGAAGAATGCTGATCTGCATATTACCCGTTAGACTGTGGAGGCAGCAAAAGGGCCGCCCCCCACGCCTGCAGCTGTGCCGCACAGGGGAGAGCAGCGCACGTCTGTGCAGCATTTACGTGCCAGGTCCCGTTCTAGAAGCTCCAGAATGCCAGCCCGCTAAACCCCTCCGCACCCAGGGGTGGTGTCACCATCCCCGTTACAAGGGCAAATCCGTGGCTGGGAGAGGCAATGGGATTGCCCGGGTCCCCACATGCGCCGAAGCAGCTCCTCCTCTCGGCTCCCCTCGGCTCCCACAAGGTTGGACGGGGCTGTGGCTACTTGGCACTAAGGGCCGGAGCGGGCGAGGCTGGGGACGGTGCGGCCCAGGTGAGAGGGGACTGCGTCACGTGTGACGGGAGGCCCTGCTACAGCTCACCCTGCAGCCTGCTCCTGGCTGCCTGGCCACATCTGACACATGGCTGTTTTGACTTCTCGCCCCACTGTAGATTCTTGGGGCCATGGGAGGAGCTTTTGCCCCCAGCTCAGGGGCCACAAAAAGCATTAGCATTCCCCTGAGTCTCCAGCACTATGAGATAAGCCCCGGGATTGCCCGGCGTCCTACAGAAGCGGGGATGGAGTATGTCCACCGCCCCGAAAAGGACGACAAGCTCCTGGAGGACGGGGCTGCATCTGGCCACTTTCAGACGCTCCACACGTGGTACATGGTCAACACAGGCCGGCTAACCAAGCGTGGTCCCAGAGACTCCCCCAGGGCCCCGTGGTCGCTCCACCCTGCCCGGGGGTAGAGGCTGCTTACGCCCATCACTGTGAGCTGGAAGGTTTCCGTCTTTCCCTCATTCATAGATTTGTCCTGCCTCTCTCACCCAAAGACTAAAAGCTGCAAGGACAAGAACTGTTAAATCTCAGAACACTTTATATGCCCTAGAGCCGTGCTTCAAGAAAATAACAGATATCTAACGAATAATTCTTAAAATATTTTAAAACAAGCCACTGAAGTTCAATCTCCTACAAGATACTGGCATTTCAACAAAATGCAAGCTACACAGACTGCAGAACTGGGAGGTTCTGTCGTCACTACTTCCCCAGTGATTTTCAACTCTGAATGACGAACCCTGCTGGGTTTCACCTGCAAAACGTGCGTGCTGGAGGGGAGAGGAAGCCTGGCCTCGCAAAGCGTGTGTGTGTGTCGTGGAGGGAAGCAAAGAACACAGAGTGCACGTTAGCAATAAGTAAATAGCAAAAATAAAGAAGTTAAGTAAAAATAAGTGGGTTCTAGTCCTGGCTCCAACCCTGGCCAGAGGAAAACTGCCTGTCTACTTGAGGCCTCTGATCTATAAAATGAAGGAGGAGGACCAAATAATTTTTTGACTAGCATTTAAAAAAGGATAGGCCCACTCCCATCAAACGTCCCTGTGTCAGATCCGGGCCAGGCCCAGCGCGCTCGGCCCTCCCGGGACCCAGCCCTCCTGGGACCCGGCCCAGGCTCTCCTACTGTGTGCTAGCACAGTCAGGGCCGTGTGAGTGTCCCCAGGAAATGCGGACTGGGGCACAGAACGCTTGGCGGGCACAGGAACCCGGCACTGGAGGTCTAGCAAATCACGCCAAGGTCCAGAGAGGTGACAGGGCTGGCTGAGTGTATCTGAGAATCAGTAAAGAATTTATGCCAGGGTTCTAGCTAAGGGCAGGGACAAGGATCCATTTGCTGTGACCCTTTACTGGCAGAAGGCCTGCCCATGCCAGGGAGACTGTGCCGCCCCCCAGGGTCTCCCGTGGTGCAGCTGCGGGGCCGAAGATGCCTGTTCAGCCTATCAGCGCTATTTTGCATCCTTTGCTGAAATCAGCATTCTGTGAACTCAGTGCCGTGGAAAGAACAATTGATACCTTAGCTGAGTAGGTGCTTGAGTTCCTTCTCAACAACCCTCAAACCCTGTCCTCCACGAGACTAAAGCTACCAATTAGGGGCGGCTGGTAAACGTGGCAATATTTACACAAGAGCATCTGAAACCAGACCGCGTACGGCTGACAAGTCTCCTTTGACAAAATGGCTCAACAATTTCCGCTGTGGTTCCTTTCTGAAAACACACTGCAAAATACAGTTTTAAGCGTATAAAGAGAATGATGAAAAAATGGCCTCATTTCTGGTACAGTATCAGGAAAACAGTGGTCACTGCATGACTCGGGGCAAACACTCCCTCTGGTGACATCCCTTGTTGCCTTAGGGACAGACACCTGCAGGGACAGGCCTGAAGCTGGAGGCCACCCAGGCCCACTGCTGGTCCAGAAGGAAGATGAGGATTTGTCACATCCTTTGACAAATCCTTTCCAGAGAAATATGATTTACAAAAATACTGAAATAGAGGCAACCATGTCTTAGTCTTTTCTCAGAGAATCAATTACATGAAAGGGCACAATAAATGAGGGTTAAAACTCAAGTAAAACAAGAGTCAAGCTGATGTGTGTCAAGTAGGAAATTACAGAAAAGTTTCTTGTCTGTGGTTTGCAATGTCTCTGAAATTATCCTAAGAGAATCTTCTGAGATGTCTTGGGGCAGGGACAGGTACTAGCCTCTCAGGGTGACAACTTCTTGTAAAATAGTTTTTCTTTCAGAGCACAGAGCTGATCTAACAATATTCTATTTGATGCAACTCAGAATCTTAAAATCACAACGGTTTCTTTAAAGTAGTGGAATCCACAGCATGTGACGACCGCACATACAGCCATTCATAACCACTGACCACAATCTACTCCCCTCGTCGGCTACAATGAACATCCTGAACAGAAAGCAGAAACGGCGTCACAGATTCAGATTTTGATGCTGAGAGTCAGAATCCTGGTACTTGGTCGTAAGCCTGTTAGGAAACAACTCCATTTCCTCTACTCCCTTAGTGACAGCTTTTCCCCCAGCAAAATCATCACACATGAGTCCCTCTAAGGGCACTTTCTGAAGAGCATCCTTTGATCTATTAAACTCATATCCTCCCCTATTTCATAAAAATTGCTTACGTGTGGTGTGTTCCAAATGCAATATCCAACTTTGCCTAGGATGAAAAAGAAGTCAAGTCAGTTTAAAAGAAAAAAAAATCAGCAATATCCCTATCAAAAATTAAATTAGAAAAGATTCAGGGTAACTTTACTATCTTTAAACTTTTTACTGCCCTCTAGTGGACAAGTCCTTGATTGCCAAGACAGCTTTTAGAAGAGCATCCACTGAGGCTCATTTTTGAAAAAACAACTTTTTTTTTAAAGGCATCCAGAATGGTTCAATACATATTGCACTTTTTAATTATAGTAATTAGAAGTGAGAAGCTTAATTTCCTTAGTTGCCAGAAAACTAGCAAGAACAAATGAGACTCTATGCAAAGTTTTAAAATTAGCTATTTGGCTTATACAGAAATATACACAAGTTTTTAAAGCACGTTTAAAAGAAACATTTAAAGTGGTGGCAGCATTGAGAATCATGATGTCAAAACAAAAGTTCTCTTACATTTATAACATAGCAAGTGCTGAGAATAAAGATATTAAATTCATTTTCATGTTACAAAGTGACACCTTTACAAACAAATGGTGGTGGGGGGTTAGTAGGCGAAGAAGTAAAACATTGTTTTCTAACATCCAGTATAGCAACACCTTGGTTAAGCAGAATATGCCTCAAGATGAGAAAGTTAAAAAGAAATGTCAAAAATAGCTCAGGAGTTAGGAATTCAGCATATGGGCACAAGTCCTATCTTCACAAATTTGTGTGACTTTAGAAAATATTTGAATCTCTATACCTCATCTTTCTCCTCTTTGCAATGAGGGTACTGTTCAGAGATTCAGGGAGTTGTCAGGAATAAATGAGAAAAACATTGCTTAAATGCTTAGGAAAATGGGACCTGCACGGGGTCAGCATTCTAAAAATGGAAGCAGGGAAGCAAGTACTATTAAAAGCAAAGCCCTCCCCACTCCCCACCACGGGACGGGTGGATGGGCCTGTCCACTGGGGGCCGCGATGGGCAAGTGAACCCGCGGGTGAGGATGACACGGCCCACCTTAGAGTTGCTCATGGACAGGTGGCTGAGTTTACTACACTCGTAAGCTCCGTGTTTGGAGTGCTCAAAGAGTATCAATTATAGAGTGGGGTCTGGCCACAGAAGAGTGAACAGGAAAAGTGTATTCCATGTCTTTAAATTACACAATGAGAAGAAAGATTGATATCCTGTAAATTGATATTTAGTTCAGAAAAAGCAATGGTCAAAAGACTTGGCTTTTGAGTTTAGTTTTGCTATTCATTGTATTGCTTTCGGGCAAGTCTAAGCACAAAAAAAAGGGAAGATAACTTCAACAGATAATATTTAATGGGTGCTTTTTTGGGTAAATGCACCAAATCCTTTACACAACAACCGTATAAGGAACAGTATTAGCAATCCATTTTAAAGATGAATAAATGAAGGGCGTGGCCAGCATAGATCACTGGTAGAGCACGTGCTTAGTTAGCATGCAAGAAGTTCGGGGTTCAACTCCCAGTACCTCCATTTAAAAAAAAAAGGATGAAGAAATGAAGCTTTAAGTGGTTAAGTGATAGGCCCGGACTGACACAGCTAGTGGGTGGAGGGCTGGGACAGACCCCAGAAGTCTGAACTTTGACCACCACCAGGCTTCAGACTCTGGCCTCTGCCACCCATGCAAAACGGGAGACGTACAGCATCTACTTATTGACTAACAAGACTCAGCTTAGGCAAGTGACACTATGTTGCTAAAAAAATATTCAAAAATTCATTTTACAGACAAGGTATAAAGGTATTTCAATAGGTGGGGGCAGGAGAGGGCAAACACCCTGTACATCAAAGACGAGCTGGGAGCTTCTGGTCACTCTGCACAAGCGGCTTGGAAGACAGCGCTCATAGCGCCCCCTCGTGGCTGGCCTGAAGCATGCCACACTTTCTCCTAAACGTTTCAGTACAGATAGTGTATTTGAAAATCTTTGTATTTCTATTGATTTAATCACCCCCCTTCAGGATTTCTGTGTTTATTTTCTGCCCACTCTTAGTCTGATAAGCACTATCCTACTGCAGTTTAACCCCTTCTGCTTTTGGAAACAAATGCAAAACAAGGGGAGTTCAGGCAACTGCTAAGCAAAGGCGTATCTGTGTATAGGGGAACCCTCAACAGGACGGGAAAGAAGTCCAACTACATGACGCACAGGGGGTCCATCACAGGAGGCGTTGTGAGGTCGGTTTAAAATGGATCAGACTGAGATTTTTCAGTTTTAATCTTTATAAAACAGATACACACCCCCCCCCTAGATAATATTCTACAGCTGGAAGAAGAGAGATAAAACGTGGGCTGGAATTCTTTTATCCCATATGGATGGAGGAAAAAAGACACTGGAGGGAAAGTGAGAAGGAAAAATAATCTAGGTCTCATGTAAGTCTCTCTTGGCTCTGTACTCCAAGAGCAGAAATCTCGAACCAACTTCACTGAGCTACTGGCCAGGATAGGACCATTGTCAGGCTGCTCACGGATGGACTGACCAGCCTGCTCCAACAGGACAAGGTGACCATTACACCAGCCACCCCAGAACCTCCACAGCCACAGGAAGGAAATCATGAACGTAAACATTTCTGAATTCCTTGCTAACTCCACCTCCTTGCCTGTTTCTTACACAAAATGCCACATATAACAGATCCTTTCAGATGCGAGGTCTATAACAGCGGGTCCTAACCAGTCCCAGACTCACTGGTCACACTGTATTTCCAGGTATTTACTGATGGGAAAATATCAGGGTAAAATTATGGGAAGACAGAAAGAAACTGGCCCACAGCCTTCTCTTCGCCTCCTCTCTGCTCTGCTTTCGTCCCAGACTGTGACAGTTACTACGTGTGTCACCCTGGTCGTCCCCGACTGTGATGGTTACTGTGTGTGTCACCAGGGCAAGGCCACAGGACCCAGATATTTGATCAGATGTTGTCGTGAAGGTATTTTTTGAGGAGAATGGCATTTAAATCAGTAGATTTTGGGTAAAGCAGATGACCCTCCATCATGTTTGTGAGCCTCAGTAAGTTGAAGGCCTTAAGTGTTAAAAAACAACAACAAAGAAAGACCCCTTTCCTCAAGGAAGAGGGAATTCAGTCTCCAGCCAGCCTTTGGACTCAGACTGCAACATCAACTTTTCACAGGGTCTCCAGCCTGCCCGCCTACCTGGAAAATTTTGGACTTGCCAGCCCCCACAATCACGTGAGCCTGTTCTTTTAAAATACATGTCTCTCCAAACACACACGTACCCTTACTGGTTCTGTTTCTCCGAAGAACCCTGGCTGATTACAGAGACATCAGGTCAACAAAAAGGAAAATCTTTCAAACCACAAGGGCTGCCCACAAACAGGATGGGCTACCTCGGGAAGCGTGTAAGCCAAGGCTGGACAAGTGTGTGTCGGTGACGCCGAGAGGGGACTCCTGCTTTCAGCAGGTGGACAGACTGAGTGTCTAAATTTCCTTGCAACTCTCAGAATACGCAGGCTCTCGCACGGCAGTAAGTGGCTTACCTGGCAGAGGGAAACGTTTTCATAAGGCTTTGCCTGGGCGTGCAGGTGAGCCTTTGCTTCTCGTTTGTCGCCATGCACAAGCAAGATTGGCTTCTTCCTGAAAAGGGATCAAAAGTATTTAAAATCTGTCATTCGTGAAGCTGGACGGGTGCCTAGTTAAGGAACGTGTGTTCCTGGCCTGGGTGGTGACTGAGCACAGGGCGAGCACACAGTGGTGACCGGTTAACCTTCACTAACTGATTACCTCTGTCATGGGGCCCTATGGCCTGATTGTGAAGCTCTGCTGTGACCCAGAGAGGCTGTGACTCCAAGGTCCTTGAGTAACTGTCCTCTGTGGTCCAGAAGGGCACATCCTTAGCTCTGTGTTCAGATAGATTAAAAGATACGTAATTACTGTTGTCTAGTATGATGCTCTTTCTCTCCTTTTGGACCAAGCGATGGATCACTTCCTCACTAAACCTCTACTGTGTGTGTGGTCCAGCACCAGAGCCCCAGGATACATGAGTGAACGGGCCCAGATCCATCACCTGCAGATTCATGAATAGATGGTTCTATTTCAATGAAACAGAGCCTGACGCAGATTGAAAATGTCCTGTTTTTAAATTCAAAAGCACAATATAAGAACATTCTGCAGGAAAAGATTTAAAAGGCTTTTAAGGGAACCATGATCTTCTCTGGTTAATTCAAAGTGAGACAATTCTTGGAAATCAATTTATCTCTACAAGCTCTCCCAACAAAAGAAAAATCGGATTTTTCTCCAACAAGTGATCAAGCAAGATGAACAACTGGAGCCACTTCCACAATCATCAATCATGTGCAGGATGATTCCCTCCGAACGTGAAGGGACAACACTGAACTAGAAAGAAACGTTACAGAAACTGTACTTCCGGGACTAATGTCTAATCCCCTAATGCCCGACAGCCTTATTCTAACATGGTAGGTAAAACAGAACTAAGAAGCATGCCTTCCGAATTTGTTTTTACTGGCGAAAAAAGTTCTATTTTACAACTAGAAAAACAGTACTGAGAATAAAGAGACAATCACACATCTACCACCTAGAAATAATTCTTGTTATCAGATCATCAGGGTATTTTATTTTATTTTATTTTTTATTCATTCATTCATTCATTCAAATGGAGGCACTGGGGATTGAATCCAGGACCTCAAGCATGCTAAGCACGTGCTCTATTCACCAGCTATACTCCAACTCCTCTTTTTTTTTTTAAAAAAAAATAAAAGATTAAACATTATTGACAGAAGTTGAAGTCCTCATTAATTACTTCAAATGTATTGGCCCCAAAATCTATCACAGAGAGGCAGCGTGATGGTCCATTTTGTGTGTCAGCTTCACTGGGCCAAGGGTGTCTGGGTAAACATCGTTGCTGGGTGTGTCTGAGAAGATGCTTCTGCGTGAGATTAGCACCTGAGTTGTGGCTCAGTCTCGCCGACTGCCCTCCTTAATGGCGGTGGGCAGCATCCAATCCTTTGAACAGGCTGGAGACCCTGACCATCATTTTCCTGCCTGTGTATTCCTCCGCCTTACCTGTCACGGGGATTCTGTCACGTACATGTGTTGGAAATGGGGCAGGTGGCATGTCACGTTGCAATACTATCTTTATTTGGTCTGCATTGCCTAACCCGAGGTAGAGGAACTACAGGAGACAGACCAACACCCATCACCTCCACAACCCGGAGAGGGGAGGCCCCGAGACCCCTTCGTTAACTCCTAAGCTACTGGAAGAATCATTTGTGGAACAAGAGATTCTCAAAAATGGGACAGCACTGCTGTGCTAAGTGAAGCGCGGCACACTTACAGGTCGAGAAAGCAGGTGGCAACGACCTTTTCCTTCATACTAATATTGGACCCAAAGTTCTTTTATTTGGGGTGAAGTCTGTCTTTACCTACTTTGGACAGAACAACAGAGGGACACGCTACAATTTGTATTAGGCAGCCTTGTGATTAGTTAGAACAGATCAAAAGACGCTGTTTTCCCAGTACAACTCAACGTTTGAGTTCAATAATTTCAAAATACATATTCAAAAGAGATGGATGGCAGCTGCTTGAAAAACACAGATCTTAGGTTTTAAATCCCCGTTACAGTTACGATGTCTCCCAGCCCTCTGCGGAACTCACCTGAACTCTGGTGGATACTGCTTCACCAGCCAGTCCACATCAAAGCAGTAGTTGAACTGGATTGGGGAGCGGGGGTGATGGGGAGAAAAGGGGAAGAGAAAACAGTTCATAAGGAGGACTGTTTGGTTATTAAAAGAGACTAATGATGAACTACATAAATTCTCATTTATAAACTTGGACAATTCTGCCACAGCGCTCATAGACAAACCTAAAACAACCCTGAAGGGAGCGAACGGTGCAGAGTCTCCATCAGTCGGCGGGGGGTGGGGGGGGTGGGGTGCCCGAGCACACAGGAAACCATCTCCGCCTGCTTTGGCAGCATCTGTGTTTGTAACCTGAGTCTCACTACACCATTTCTAAGGGCCCCCTGATTAACTTAAACAAAAGGGCTCATAAAGGTATCCCTTGCCCACTAAGTGATTATGAAAAGGACGCGAAGAACATTTGCTCTCAGTCTAACTTATGAGCTCGCTTTGTACACAGGCACCTGGGGCCGGGCGCTCACTAGGCTTCCCACAAGGCGGGGCTGGACTTACCGGGGGTCCTCCCCACGCCTGGGGAGCCCCTGACCCTCTGCTGGACAGCACGATTCAGTCTGGCGAGAACACACACCAACCCACCACATGTTCCACCTGGAGGCCAGGGCTCCCGGGGCCAAGCAGAGCACGAGGCACACAGAAAGCTTCACCTTCTTAGGGACAAGGCCTCACTACTTACTTGAGGGCCTGGAGCTTAATTAACGTGACTTATCAATACAAAGGGACCCGCTCTGTCAGGCGGAGCGAAGGAGCACGCAGGAGCAGCCACACCCGTAAATTCTACTCACTTCTTCTTGGAGGGTGTGAGGAAATTTCTCATTTATTTCTCTAAATCAAATCAAACTTGACAGGGCCTTCCCCCCTCTACCCAGGGAGCTGCACCAGGGTCCCGTGAGGTGACCAGTGTCCCTCAGGCTGGGATTTCCAGAGTGACTTCCTGGCCAGTCATTGTGGCCCAACTGAGGCGGAAGCCTCACTGACCGTGCACCCACATTCTACGCTGCTGGAGCCCACAACCGTGGCACTGGGTGCCAGCCTCCAGGTAGGTGCCACTTCGGGGAACCCCGACAGGACTGGCCTGCAGGTCCTACTGCTCCATTTTCTTCCCAAATTGTTTATCTGTCCCTTTCCAAAGAAAAAACTGTAAACTCACCTGAGCTGAAGATACAAGGGTCCCAAATAGAGGAGACAAAATATCTGAGGAGACAAAACATTGACACCTCATTCACATTTGAACGAAAATCACCTAGTAATAATAATCATAATTGGCTTAATAGTCACTGAAAAATCAAAATTCAACTTAGAAAACAGAGCTGAAAAGCTACTACAAAGATAGACTTTAATGTTCCGTAAGATTCAAGAGAAAATTTCTCCGTGCCATTTAACAGTATTTACTACACATTCTTTGAACAAAACATAACGTAAAATAAAAAATCTACGACTTCAGGACTGGATGACTGGCCCATTTTAGAAACTGCCGACCACAGTGATACACATTCTTGCTCTTTTCAGATCTCTTAGTTTTTTACCTCCTCCAAGTCACTCTCCAGGAGACCTCCCAGCCCAAGACTAGCAGGACCGTTCTCCGGGGCCCAAGAGCACATGCTTCGTGTGCGGGGCGGGCAGAGGCACCCCCAACCAGAAGTGCGCATTTCTAGCATCCCGGTCATCTCTGAGCGGGACCCACCTAGCACCCCCTCAGGCTTCCCTTTGGAGAAAATGGAAAGCTCACACCTCATCAACTACACTGAGCAGGCGTACGTGACCATTATCACCACCGCTGACTGTGACAGCCTCACCTACACAGGACACACTGGGGGCCGGGCGCTGTTCCCGGCACTTCCCAGGTGTCACTCTCACTGCTCACAGCCGTCTCCAGCCTGTGGGGTCTGCCACTCCCATCTGGTGGACAAAGGGGTCTCTCCTTAGGGGCCGCCTGTTGCCACACGGCTGGGAAGGGGCAGGGTGGGGATCTGAGCCCACACAGTCTGGCTCCAGGGCTTCTGCTCTTAACCACCAAACCTCCCTGAGGATTCAGACTGGACTCATTCACTTACTGGGCCCATATTTACTGAGTGTCTTCTGTCTTCCAGACACTGAGACAGATGCCAGGCCACAAAGATTTTAAAAGAACAAAGAAGTCCTCTTGGGGAAGCTCCTACCTTAGAGGGAGAGTTGCGGTCATGAGAGAAATTCTCAGTATGATGTCCCACATTTTGCCCCCACACCAGTCCCTCTTTCTACCTTTCTAAATGTTACCCATCTTTCACGGACCATCTGAAGTCACTGTTCCTTGATGAGACCTTCTCAACAGCATACTATTAGGGCATTTGTTGGAGTGGAGCATGAAATGGTTAAGAGCATGGATTCCGATGCTGGAATGCCTGGGTTCAAATCCCAGCTCTACCATTTACCAGCTGTGTGACCCTTAGCAGTTTACTTAACTTCTCTGCAGATGAGTCAGCTATTCAAGGAGGACAGTCATTAACATCTACTCTTAAGGGTTAAGGGAGATAATCCGTGTAAAAGCTCCTATCGGAACGTTACCTCCCCTTCCTCCATATCTTGGTGCTAACAGCCAGTCTTCATCACTTTTTGACATACAGCAAAACCTTGCACAGTCCTCTATTTCTTGTACCAGTCTCTCTCAAATAAAACAAAAATACCAAGGTCTATCTCGCATTTCTTCAAAGTACCTGGACAAGGTATTCATCCACAAAAAGGAAAAACAGACAACTTGTAGAATCAAACTCTTTAGAGCATGAATTATCACACACACCAACATTTACCACAGAGAAGATGTAACTATACATTTGGTATATAAAACACCATTAACAGCGAACACAATCTGTCTTTGAATGTGGGTAAGAAAGGTGATGTGAAGTAAGGGTGATAATGTTTATTTATGTCTCTGCCATGTGCATGTACTGTGCTGGTCACTTCATGTGCTTTCTCCCTTTTTTCCTAAATCTCCCGTTTAAAGGTGAGTAAACTGAAATTCTGAAGAATGACAGGTCCTTTGTTAACCACCCACCCAGCAAGCAAGCGGTGAGGCTGGGGTTCAGGTCCTGTGACTCAGATTCCAGGGCTCCTGCTGCTCTCTCTTCAAGGAAAACCCTGTTCCCTCTCTACACTCAACCCTTCTGACACCAAGTGCAGCCGAGGGGAGGGGTGGGGGTGTGTCCCCACAGAGACCAGTTCTCCACAGATCCCGGATGCGAGTCCTACAACTGAACTCAATTCTGACACCATCCACCTGGAGTTGGCATCAGCTCCCACAGATTAAGGGCTCAGTCCCACAAGACAGTCCCCACCCCAGATGCCAATCATAAGCCCAGACCCCCTGTACATCTAACCGACCAGCTATAAATTGGGGGTTGCCACCACCTCCTCCTAGGGTTTGATAATTTGCTGCAACACCTCAGAACTCAGGAAAGCACTTCGCTCACTAGATTAAGTTTATTATAAAAAGATACAACTCAGGAGCAGCCAGATGGAAGAGATGCACAGGGCCGGGGTATGAGGGTGGGGGTAGGGATGCAGAGCTTCCACACCCTCTCCGGTGCGCCCCTGCCGGAGGTGGGCACCTCCACTAGTCGCCAACCTGGAAGCTCTTCAAACCTCTTCAGTTAGGATTTTCTTGAATGGAGGCTTCATTACATAGTGCACTGATGAAATCACTGACCTCAGGCCCCTCTCCCCTCCCTGGAGGTGGGGTTTGGGAGCTGAAAGCTCCAGCTTTAATCACATGGTTGGTTCCCCAGGCAACCAGCCCCCTCCCCCCAATTCCTGGGGGCTTCCCAAAAGTCCCCGCATTAACAGAGACTCAGGTGTGGTTGAAAGGGACCTGTTCAGAATAACAGAAGAGGCTCCTTTCACTCTTTTATTGCTTTGGAGCTATTTCAGGAGCCTGAGACAAAACAAAAACAAACAACTGTAACCAGAGGTGAAGACCAAACATATACACACATCACAGCATCACACAGATGCTCCCTGGGGACCAACCACAGCCACCAAAGGTGAAAGGCATTCTTGTTTCACTTCCTCACCAGGTACCAAAACCAGACTTTCAAGCAATGGTTCTCAAAGTTGATTGGGCAACAGAATCACCTGAAAAGCGTGTTAAACTACATATCCCAGAGCTTGGCTTCCAGAGTTTGAGGCAAGGCATCTGGAGTGGAGCCCAAGAATCTACTTTTCAACAAGTTCCAGGTGATGCTGGTGCAGCTGGTCCAAGGACCAAAGAGAGCTGCTATCAAGTATTCGCTACTTCGTTGATAAAGTGAGACTGATCAAATTTAATCTTTATATTAGAAGTTAAATAATTCTAAGCACCATGCTAAGGGTTCCACCAGGGGGATCTACAGGGCGGTAGGAAGCACCCTCTGGTTTCCTGACCTTGATACTGAGCAGGACCCTGTGGGCCCCCCACAACGCCTGCCTCTTGTTTACAGAAAAGCTGGAGTCTCCCAATCCTCCCTGAGTCATAGAAGAGTAGGCTTAAGCAAGCGGTTAATGACTGGGACAGTGGAGTCACAGACTCACTGTCAGATGCACATTCCTGAGTTGTTTTATAACCAGATCTCTTCCTTAGCTTCCCAATTGTTACCAAGGCTACTGCCCCCAGGATCCTACCCCTGACCTGCCCTTCCCTTGAATAGAAACCAATGACTTAAGTCTCAGGAGGCAGCTGCAAAAAGAAACAAGAGCTGGTTAGAGCCTGCGAAGCCCAAGATGGTGGAGGATCTGACTTCCAGTGGAGCTTGAGCCTCATTATACTGTAACATATTAGCAGGCTGAGTGACACACCAATGAGAGCCATGACAGTGGACAACTGCCATGCCAACAACTGGGAAAGCCCCTACAAGGACTAATTGATTCCATCACACCTGGAAGGACATGCTGGCAGAAGCCTCTCATAAAAACCCACGTGGCCCGATCCAGGCCATCTGTCTCTACCAGCCATCCGGGCTGATAGGCAATCCACCCCAACCTCCCCCCATCACTTCAAGCACCTTTCTTTCCTTTTCCTCTTCTGAGCAGGAAAGCAGCCATTCACTTTGTCCCTCTGCCTCTGCTGCAAATTCTTTCACAGCCAGCAGGCAAGGACCCATACTCTGGTGGGCCTCCTAATTTCGGGGTCCTTCTATCTGCTAACACCCTAAGTAAACAGTTTGCTGTCAAATGAATGCATCTGCTTGTCAAAATGGTTAATTTTTTTTCCCTTGAGGGCAGTTAAAGGTTCCTGGAGACCATTTGTAGGCTGCCCCCTCCTGTTTCACCGAGGGGGACCCCTCAAGTGCAGTGTGACGGCTCCCGGACCCCCAGCTTCACTCACCCTTGATGTGGAGGGCTCTGGAGTTATACTTTGGCTTAATTCCTGAGACGCGGGTGAGGTAGAACTGGAAGGGGTTCCCTCTATCCAGCATGTCCCAGATGTCCTGGCCTTCCCCTGACGTTTCGTACTCATCTTCCTCCCGCCTGAGCCCGGGGCTGGCGGGAGGGCTGCCATGCCCAGCTCTGCGGGCAGCACCGTTTTGGGGAGAAGGAGGGCCTTCCTCTTTTTGACCCCCGCTTTCTTAGCCTGCTTCTGCTGAGTCTCTGGTGGCAGCTCATCCTCACTGCTGGAAAGACACCAGCCTAGGTCCTCCTGGGAACCAGTCTTCTGCCTTTTGGAAGGAGACGCCTCGGAAACCGAGTCAGCATTGCTGAACATCACAGGGTCTATCTTCCTCTTGTGTGCGGCTCTCCGAGCCTCGGAACAGGTGTACTTCGGCTCCGCTGCTGTTCTCTGCCCAGCGTTGGGGAGAAAAGAGGTAGATGGTGTGTCTGGTTTTGGCTTTTCCTCCTCACTTTCATCACTACTGGATATCGTCCACCTCCCATACTTGCCTTCCTGAGACATTATACTTCTGGAAAGAAAAGTAGAAATCTGGTTATTTCCCTTTTGCCAGGCCGCTGGCAAACACTGCCTTGCTCTCAAACCCTGTGCCGTGAGCTTCTAGAATACACACAGCACGCCTGACACTCATCAGATGCTGAGCCATGTCACTAACGGCAGCTGTTTTGGGGGTGTTCAGGGGCACAGGACCAGAATCTGCCATGAGAACTTGGCAAATAATGACAGCAAAAATCCTGGTCACCTTCTCCTCCTTTCTCTCTCAACCTAGACCTGGTTCTTAGATGCCCAAGGAAATGAGGTTGAGACAAAGTCTGAAACAAAAACATCCATTCTTGACCCTGAAGCTTCCATCAGGTGCTTGAGGTTAAGGGCAGTTTAAGGAGCTTCAAGATTAATTCTGTCTCTGCTCCCAAACTGGAATTTACAGTCCCTCACCCAAGCATGGGAGCCCGAAGGACTTCAGTGACTATTTCTTACTTCCCCAAAGATAAGCTATTTACTATACGGCTTACCAAAGTCCTCAAGACAGTGTCAAATGATCAATTCTGTATACACATTTATCTAGAAAGGCTTCCCCGAGAACACAACTAACTTAATAATGATCTTATTCTAAATCAAACTACTAAAACCTACAAAGAAAGAACTTGTACTGAAGCAAAACACTATTTTCTAAACCACACAGTCTAATTTCTACTTTCTTGCTTTAAGAGGTAAACAGGTGAAAATTTTGGTTTTGGTATCTACAAAATGTCACCAATTCCATGGTAAAGAGCTATCTAAGTAGATTTTCTAGATAACTTAAGAGCAGTCCCACAGAGTGATCAAAAAAAAATTTTAGTGCAAAACCTAGAGCAAAATTATAGGACTCAAGAGTCTGTGCTCAGATTATCGTCAGAGCATCTACATTTTTGCTCTTTTAAAGAGAGTGAGCAGGACCTGTTATGAGTGTGGACATAAGACAAGACCGTGGTATTCTGTTCCAAAAACCCCATTACCTTAAAAAAAAAAAAAAAAGGCTTAACTCTACACTGGAAGATATGCAAATGAGTATTTCATATGTTTTGAGCTAAAAAAATTTTTTTCCAGCTATCTATCACTTTTCACAATTTCTCACCTTTTCTAATTAATGACCAGTTAAGTCAGATAAGGTTTCTCCTGTAAATTACATATTTCAAAGAGCTTTTAAGCAGAGTGCATCTACACAATAATCTGACTCATTCTTCATGGCTGTGGGTCACTATTAACCCCACCAGGCACGGACACTGTTCTGCAGCCACAGCCTCAGGGACCACAGATGGATGCGGCCACTTGCCCCTTTAACAGTGGCCCTAGACTCTGTCTAGGTCTTGTTTTCTAAAGGTTCTCTGTCTAATCCCTCTCTGTCCAGCCTATGTCTAAGGGCTGTTAGAACTCTCTTAGAGTAGGTTTTCTCCCTAAATTGTTTTTAATCTGCTAAAGGTTAAGAAACCAGATAACCACGCTGGTTGGAACTGTAGTGTTACAGTTAACAGGATTTGAGAACCAGGTTTTCTCATGAAAGAAATTAAGGCAGACATACTACTTAACGCCTACTTAAACAGCTCTGTGTTTTGTTTTTGTTTTGATCATTTTTGAAAAGACTTAAGTCCTAGACTATGGAAGTTACTATCACAATTCACTTTGAAGGAATCATTTTTGTTTTGTGTTCAAAAAAGTATTTAAGTCTTGTAGTAGTTCATGGTGAAAAAGAATATAAAAATGAATATATGTATATTCATGTATGACTGAAAAATTGTGCTGTACACCAGAAATTGACACAACATTGTAAACTGACTATAACTCAATAAAAAAAAGAAAAAACTTTATACAAACAAAAAACCAACATACACTTAAAGGGAATATTTTGAATAAATTTATTTTAAACCAGAAAAAGAATTATTTAATAACAAAAGAACCACTTTTGGAAAACCTAGTCAGCTGTGAGCTCTAGCTTCCACTGAATTCTAAACCAGCTCGGAAGGGAGGCCCTTAGTAACAGAATCTGCAACTGAGATTCTTCAGGCTGCCCTCTCTAGATTTCCACTCCATTCTAGAGCAAACAGGTCTTTAGGTTTTTAGCAGAAAAAAAGGGTTCACCTTCCTGCCTGAGAAAAGCTGTATACAGATCTCTTAGAGGTCACCACCGTCCCTCTTCCCAAATAAATTATGTATAAATAAAATGGAATTCAAAAACCCTGAGAACTCTGAAGGCAAGATACAAATCTGTCTTTAGTGACTCTGAGCTATTTAGGAGATTTCCAAAGTTTTCAGCTTTATCCCTTTATCTACAACCACCTCTGCAGGGGGAGGGGGAGGAGAGAGAATTTCTCCAAAGGATAAGCAGGTAACAAATAAAGCCTTGAAAAAGACATTTCCTAGGGGAAAAAAAGCTTTTGTTAGCTCTATGCACGGTCTAAGGTTTGGAGCTGCTCACACTCCAAAACATGCTTGAGAGTTACTTAGCAATTAAAGGCAAAAACCCTTTGTAATACTATAATAAAAATCATACCAAATCATGAAATCTAGCAGGTTACCAACCTCTTTATGCAATCACGGTGCTTAGCCTGTCCAGGAGGAGCTGCTGGTAAGCACCAGGATCAATCAGGAACTGACTTCTACTTTGGGGAACTGGATGTGGTCCCAGGATCAGAATTTCATTTCTCTCTGTGAATGAAAAATACTGCCTGCCATATTAGTAAACAAAAATGTTGCAGCTATCAAGCCATCACACTGTAGCCGCCCTGAAGGTGAGCCCTCAGGGAACTTGGGATGGAAACAGGATGCCCCCATCAAGCCATCAGCCACTGCAGCCTCCCCTAGAGATGCCCCTGAGGAGACTCAGGATGGGGAAGCCCAGGACACCAGCCCTAGAGAGCTAGGGTGTACATCAAAGGAATGATTTCGATGAGCCCAGACTCCTGCATCTTCCCATACATAGAAAAGCACTCAAGTCCTTCACTTGAGATGTCTGGTTTTCTTTAACAGTAATCATTTGATGTTCCGACTTTGTTGCAAAAACTCCTATATATCCTGGCTCCACCCCTACCTCTTCAGAGCAGTCTTAGAGCAATCCGAGAGGCTGTCTCCAGGGCCTGAAGTCCTCATAAAGTCTGTGGAATAAAACATAATTCTCAACTTTTAGGTTGTGCATTTTTCTTTTTCAGTCAACACCTCTCACACAGGCCCACGTTCCCAGCACTCCTTTGTAATCAAGTCACGGAGCTTTAGGAGGATAGAACCCGACTATTTTCCTTCAATCATCTGTTTACGGTTTGCCTTCCCCTGGCCCAGCACAGGTCTAACATCATACTCTGGGTAAGCAGTGACACAGAATTAGAATTACAACACAGGTGGGCTGATTCCAAGACCTGACATTCAACTGAGTCAGCGAAGAGCAGTGTTTCCCAAAGAGATGACCGAGATGACCGGAACTTGACATTAACATAATACGAAAGGACCTTCCTTTTCCATTCCAATCCAATAGCCTGTTTAATCATGGAGAAGGTTTTTTGTAGAAATGCCTCTAACCTTGCTTTTGAACAAATAACAGACTTCAGGCCCTTCCACAGGCATCAGTAAGTATTGCTTTTGTTTAATAGGTACAGAAGGTATCTAATGGCTCCGTTATATTTATAGTAACTAAAATTTACTTCTTAAAGACAGTGTTTATGTGCAAGCGGATTCAAATAAAAATATTAAGCAAATAGTATAGAACTTGAGAGTAAGACAAAACTGAGGAGTAGGCAACTAACCACATTACTGAAAATTTAGCAAACCCGCATTAAGCTACAATGCCGAGGAGAATCAAAATCTAAAGAAGTTCTCCCACCAAATGCCAGCTCATAACATTAGAGCTTCTATGTGGGACTGAAAAAAAATTGTGGATGCAAATGGATATTCCTCTTTAAGCTGCTAGCCTCTCCTCTCCCCCATCATCCAGACACAGCTGCTCCTCGTTATAGAACTTGCAGACCATTGGGAGGGCATGGGAGTCAAGCTCAACTGAGGCCAGGTGTGGTCAGTAGTGGGCACACATCGACCCCACTTTCAAGTCCAGTCATTACTAGGTGACAAATGTGCATTTGAGCAGGTTACTTAATTACTGAGCCTCAGTTTCCTTCTCTGCAAAATGGGTATCATATCTACCTCCCAGAGTTGGTTCATTCAATGAATATTTACTTAGCTGCCACTATATGCCAAGCACTGGGAATAAGAAGTTAATATAGAAATAGTATCTGCCCTAGAAAAGCTTATATTTTGGGGGAAAGAAACAGACTGACCCAAACAAAAATAACAACAACAACATAAAAAAAAAGCCAAGGTACCTTTACAGATATACACTTTACAGATACTCTCATTTTACAGGTATGAGAGAGTAACAGGGATGCCCTTACATCAGAATATTCTGAATAACATTTAAGAAAGCTCTGGAGGATGAAAAGGAGCCCGCCAAATAAAAGTGGGGGAGAGAAACACGAGCATTCCAACTGAGGGAACCGGCCAGCAAAGGCCAGGAGGTGAGAACACGGTTGTAGTAAATCTAAGAAACAGAAAGGCTTGGGTAAGGAGGACAGGTTGGTGGTCCAGGATGAAGGGGGTGTGGAGGAGGAAAAGTAAGTTAAAGATCCTAGATTTTATTTAAAGAACAGTAGGGCCCCCAATGAAAGGCTTTAATAAGCAGAGGGGTACCTTGGTCCGATTTACATTTTTAAAAATACTACGTTCCTTACAACTGTGTGGAGAATGGCTTGGAGGGAGACAAAAGTATACGTGAGGAGCCTCCTGCAGGGACTCGGGAAGCTGTTGAAAGCGGTGGGGATGGAGCGAGGAGGGCTGATTTGCAGTACGTTGGAGGAAGTAAGGACAGCTGCTAACTTTTCTGAGCGGTTAACTCGGGCCAGACACAATTCGAAGCGCTTTACCGGGTATACACTCATTTCACGCTCACAGCAAGTCTATTCTAAGTACCACGACTGTTTCATTTATGGAGAAACTGAACACAGAAAGCTTAAATGCCTGGCACAGAGTAAGAGCCCAACATGCTGGCTATCACTGTCGTAACCACCCATTTACTACAGAGAACCCAGAATAAGAATAAGGGACCCCTCCGGCAGGACTCCGGTCTCTACAGCACCAGTTGCTCCCGCCAAACAGGTACTATTGCTGGAGGAAGCCGAGGCCCGGGAGGGGACCCTACCCAGTGCCTTTAGAAGATGCTCCGCTTCCCTAGGGTCCGCCTCCAGCCCCGCCAGGAACTCAAGAATTCGCGGGACCTTATCGGCCCGCGCACTACGCCGGAAAGAGCAGAATCGCAGGCCGGGCTCCCGCATCCGCCTAGCGCGCACCCGAGGCCCCAGAGCCCGCAGCCTCTAAACACGCACCTACAGCCCCTCGAGTGCAGAGCCGCCTGGGATCCCGTTCTTCCGCCGCTGCTTGCGCCTGCGCGCAGTTCAAACTCTCCGGCCCGCGGCTCGCACCTCTAGGCCTGCCCCTTCCCCTTCCGGGACGCCCGCCGCTGGGCCCTAAAGCCCGCCGGATCCTGAGGGGATGCAGAGGGGTCCCCTAGGAAGGGTAGGAGAGGAAACCTGGAAAGAGAGAAAGAAGTGTTCCCTCACTTCTCCCTTAATTAGCAAAACTTATCACCTTTGCAGGGATTTTTATAGACAGCTTCAGGGTCCCCCAGCTTGAGATGTGGTGGGGATGGGGGTTGTATTTTTAAAGGCAAAGTGGATCAGCTGAGAGGTTCGAGGAAGCTGACGGCTGAGACCAGTATCCCGAGAGAAGCGGGCTGTAAAACCTGCTGTAAAATAGAAGGCTAAATGAGCTCCCTCAGAATCCACCTCGAATGCCTGTTTTTGTTTTTTGGGTTTTTTTTTCGTTGAAACAGGTGTGTGTGTGCCTCTGTGTGAGTTTTGCTTTTTTAATCTTACTGAATTGCCAGAAGAGAGGGGACTGAGATAAACTCCTTTGCAAAACGCAGCCCTCGTCATATTCCTTGCCTTTAGTAAGAATGTTTGCTGCGGAATTTAGGCTCAATGCTATTTCTATTATTTATTCTCGGAACTTCCTTCAAACTAGGCGCCTCTTCCAGAGGACTGAATGAAATAACTTGGTGTAAACGTCCTGAGGGCTCACTTGGTTCGTTTACTGAACGCTTGCTTTGTGGCAGGCGCCGTACTTGGTGCTAAAAGTTACCAGGAGGACAACAGACAGTAACTACCCAGGAGGGCTCGACCCCGGTGACTCGTTGATCTGTACGTGAATCCTGGACTTGTTTTGATTGGTTCCTTTTATGCTTTGTTCACACTTTCTATGTCTCCTATATTGTTTAGCAGAGTGCCGTACATCAAAATTATAAAAAGTAATTTATTGCAAGGTGTGGGGTCAGAAAATGAAAGGAATCTTGCAGGACACGTTGAAACAGTACTGGGATGAGTTGGATCCCCAGCCGCGCGCCAGGAGTTAAGGAGACGAGAGGGGCGGAGCCAAGGCTGGGGGCGGGTCTGTGAGCCTCTCGGCCATAGGCTGTTCCAAGGATACGTTATTAAACAAAGCTTCTGACCAATAGAACTGCGGAATCAACGCCAGTGGCTCGCAGGCCGTCCAATGGGAGGCGACGTTGGAGGTGTTCGGCCGAGTTTGACTTCCTGAACTGAGTTGGAGTTGGCCAGCCGTGGCTTGCGAGCCAGGCTCTGGCCGTGGAGGTCCCGGGTTCAGCTGTCCCGGCTCGGGTGTGGCGGTCGCTATGTTCTTCTCCCAGGCTGGGGCCCGGCCACAGATGTGGGAAGTCAGCCCCTCAGAACACAAGAAGTGGGTTGAAGTAAGTGTCCAGAGAGCTGAGCTTTAACTTCACCCAGGGCTCTCACTTGCACAGATAAAGACTGGGCTGTCCTTCCAGAGTGTCATGGTTAATGTCCTAGCCTACTAGGGCTTCAAAGCTTCTGGATCCCTGTTTAGTGTTCTGGCTACTTCCAAGTTCCTTCTCTTCTTTTCTCCGCGACACAGTGTGTTTATGATAACCTTCATCTCTCCTCCCGCCTTTCAAAGCCGCCGCCTTTGCCTCACCTTCCTAATTCTAGGACTGAATATTGGGTAGAATTTATCCCAGTGTTTTAAAGGAATTAACCTTGCGATTAAGTCCTTTGCACTTTTGGGGGAGTAAATTTTAGCAATTCTTTAAGATTTCTTGAGAATTAAAATTAGGGTAGTGAAATTCCACTTCCGAGCCCTACTGTTCGGCTGGGTGTTAGATGTGAGAGGCCTTAACTAAATATGAGTTGGTAATAAAAATAATAGGACAAACGGCTTCTGTCGTATTAACTAAAGCTATTTAATGTTCTTTAGGTATTTAAAGCGTGCGATGAAGATAACAAAGGCTATCTAAGCAGAGAGGACTTTAAAGTTGCTGTTGTAATGCTGTTTGGGTACAAGCCCTCCAAGGTAGAGCTTTTTTTGTGTCTTTGGGGATGGAGCAGACAACACAATAGTGGATGGATTCTAAGTGCAGAGGACTAGCTTAGGATGTTTATGAAGCAAACCAGTGCCTTTTGAGCAATTTCAGAAATGTCCAGTGCTGAATTTTACTTTCTTCTTAAGAACCCAACCCTCAGGGATGAATTAGAATCCACCAAGACTAAGTCACAACCAAGCTGTAATAATTATAATTATGAGATGCTAGCAAGGTTTCAAGAAGGAAGACTGGGAGGGGGATATTGGTACCAGGAAGAATTCACAGAGGAAGTGACATGCAGGGATTTTTTTCCCCCCTTAAATTAAAAAAAAAATCACTCCATCTAAATTATAAAAATAATGCATTTACATAGTCAAAATTAAAACAGTCCAGAAAAGTATAAAGTTGGATGTAAAATCCCCTACCTCCCTACCAAAGGGTCCTACTTTTCAGGACTTACCATTATTAACAGTTTCTTGTGTATCATTCCAAAGTTTCCTATGCATGACAAACACGCCTAGCATTCTGCTGAAAACATGAGTGGCAGCATAGTATGCCTATTTTATTTTAAGCTGCTTATTTTACTTAGTAATCGATGAATATGAAAGCACACACCGTAACATTAAAAAGAAATAGTTTCCCAGTATTCTCTTTAGCTAGTTTTCTTGCTTTGGTCATCTTGATTGTTTCCATTATTTTTCATTCCTACAAATATTGCTGCAGTGAGCGTTCTTTTATAGCTATGTCTCTACTTGTGGATGTGCATCTGTGGAATAAATTCCTAGAAGTACAAGTGCTAAGTACGTTTGACATCTGTTGGGCATTATTGCTCTCCAGGAAAGGTTGCACTAATTAAGGAGAGTTGAGCTGAACTTCAGTGAACCTCCCACTTCAGTAGGACAGATTTCCTGTCCCCTACTCTGCTGCTCCTCTTGTCTATTACATCCATTCTAGTGATGGATTCCTCTTGCTAAGCTGCTGAACTGGAATTAGAGGCAAGACTTCGTCCAGGTTTAAGAAATTCAACTGCAGGCATCAAACAGAAGGAGCAGTCAGGGCTCTGCCTGGAATGCCCTCCCTTCTACCTTCATTAGACCAAAAGGCTTGGGAATCACTGTGGCCCAGCTGTTTCTCATGAGTGGGCTCTACCTGTGAGATTGCAAGCCCTACAGAAGCCAGGGACCACGTGATGCCCCATTATGCTTAAGTGCATGACAACTTCACTGTTAATAGGTTCTGTTGATATAATATGTCCCATGAACATCCCAGGTAGGTTCAGAGTGGTTCAACTGCTAGGGGATGCTTAGTTACTGAGACGCTGATTATGGAGCTCGAAGAAGTAGTCAGGGCTGGCTCCCAGAAATTGCAGCTCTTCTGTTAACCTGCAGTCATTGCAGCTGGAATTCCAAAGCAGGTCAGCTAATGACTCAGCCTTTGAAGCACTGAATTTAACCTAGGTTCAGCTGGAAAGATACCTGGTCTCATTCTGCCTTCATCACCCTTGGATCTACTTACTTGGTTTTAATTTTAGAACAGTAGTGAGGAATTTAATGAGAAGTACAGTGATATGGTAACATACATACATACCATCAAATTTAACAGATTTTCCCTTTTGGTTGGGTTTTTTGATTTTATTTTTTAATCAAATGAAGTGCTTATTGACTGCAGATCACTAAACAGTAAAGTACTGATATAACAAATCACCGGTGCACTTAACAATCATTTGTACCGTGAACTTTTATTAAGTGACACTTAATGTGCTCCCTCTGCAAAGTTTAACAGCTTTTTGCTTTTATACCAAGTTGAGGTTTGGGATTTTATTTTTAAATATTGCTTTTGAGCAAATGAAATATTTACTGAAAGCACTTATATTATAAATCACTTCTCCACTCATGTAGATGTTTTCAGAATGAAATTTATTAAGTGGTCCCATTTAATAAAAGGAACATTTGCTATAAAGAGATATAAAGATGAATAAGACATAGACCCTACTTTGAAGCAGTTCATAGTTTAGTGTAGAAAGACTTACAAAACTCTAACAAATTTTAAGAGAAGAGACTAAAAACAGAAAATGAAGAGGACAAGGAGGAGAGTTTAATTCCAGTGGTAACTGTAAAGGAGTCTGGGCATCATTTAGACCAGCAGAGATAGACCCTTGTATTATGAAGTATCTGGAAGCACTCTGTGGTGGTGGGAGCATTTATGCCTTGGTGATCGATTGGGTGTGGTGGCCATGTCAGAGTGAAGTGACCACAGGACTAAAGGGATGTTGATTTCACCAAGTAAGAAAATTCAGAAGGAGCAGGTTTGGGGGAAAGTCAGTGAGTTCAGATTGGGGCGTATTAAGTTTGAGGAAGCTATGAGCACTCCAAGTGCTTTCTCTTTTTAAATACTGTGCTGAATGTTGAGGTTATGGTGGTAAAGATCTGCTTCTCAGATTGTGCTACCTCCCTTGGATGGAGGAATCTGAAATTAGGTGGAGAGGTGAGGGCTGGGGATGGATTTGAGACTCCCTACAGGTGGTAGGTCGAAACATGAGACTGGATGGCATTGCCCAAGAAGAGTGTGCAGAGTGTGGGAGTCAGCAGACTGACGGTAGAGCATCGGGGGCAGGGGTACCATGAGGAAGAGGTGCCAGGAAGTGGTTACTTGGGAGGAACAGGAGGAACCTGGAATCCAAGGTAGGGGAACTATGTCAGATATTGCCAAGGTTCTAATTCCATGACGTTTATAAAGCTCTTCTTACAATGTGGGAAAATGCTAATGTTTTAATATGTAGTAAAGGCCAGTCCCAATCTCAATATACAGTGTGTTCTCAAATATGTTTAAAAAATGCATAGGAGGAAAAAAAAGCCATACCAGGCCAAAACATTAACAATGGTTTTTCACTGGACAGTTGGGTTTTAAAATGTTTTTCTTCATACTTCAAAAATATTTTTCATGTTTGCTACATCATGTTACTATTACGGGCAGGAAAAAATTTTTAATAAAGTCATAGAGCCCATTGTAACAATTGCTTGTATTTGTATAAAACAGAAAGTTTGTCTTTTAGGTTAAGCATATATGTGACAGCTGAGTTGATTTCACATGATTAAACTGTTTTGGTCAGTGGAATAAAGATTGGAGGGCCATTAGAGTCTGTAGCAATTTAGCGTCTGTTACCTTAAAGACAGAAGAGTGAAATGAGGATTATATCTGTCCTGTGACGTTACTTGTTCGCTAGATTCAACAAAGTTGATTTCTCATAAAATACATCCCTTCCCCACACACCAGGAATTAAGAATTTGCACTGTGAAAACATTTGATGAGATTATGTATGCTGTTCTTTTTTGTTTTCTAGATAGAAGCTGATTCTGTGATGTCTTCAGTAGATCCAAACACTTCCGGTAATAGAAAGTTAATTTTTAATACTTTTATTCAGACATCTGTAAAACTAAAACTGAGAGCAAATATAGAGACTATAAAGCATTATGTTTAAGCAAATCTTTGTTTTGTTTCCCATTACCCAGAAGAAAGAGGTTTGGTTCTTTTAATTTTGATTAATTAATATACTCATAAGTATATGAGTGTTGTGGGAAAATTTTAAACCGTTGACAAGCACAAAGAAAAAATGTTGCTTATAATGTCACCAAACCACGGTGATCTGGGTTTTCTGACTTGAACAGCCGGGTGAACGGAAGTGGCACTTACAGGAATGGGAAGATCGTGGAGAGAAGATTGAGGGTTCCGGAAGAGCAAGAGTTCAATCTTGAATATGTTGAGTTTGAGAAGTTTCGGTCAATGATGTCAAGGCAGTTGGGCTGTATGACTGTGGCACTCAGAGGAAAGCTCTGGGCTGCAGAACTTTCATCAGCATGTGGACGGTTTTGAAGCCATGAGGGTGGATGAGACCACCTGAGAGGGAGTGTAGACTGAGACTCGTAGGAACAGTAACCATTAAAGGTCAGGTGGATGAGGAAATGGCAAAGGAGGCTCAGGAGGGGCAGAGGGGCAGGAGGAAAATCAAGAGCGTTTGATCATAAGCTAAGAGGAGTGGATACTGCAAGGAAGGGGTGTGGTCAGCACTATGGAATGCTGTTGAAAGGTGTTGAAATGTCAAGAAGTGAAAGATCTGAAGAGGATCCATGGATCTGGCAAGCTGGGGTGTTGGGTGACTTTAGCAAGAGCAGTGTCAGCACATGGTGAGAGCAGAGGTCAGGCCCAAGCGGCTTGAAGATAAACGGAAAGTGAGAAAGTGACAATGTGAGTGGATAAGACTTTCAGCAGGTCCAGAGTGGCTGTGGATCAGGAGCCCTGTTTGCTTTTTTTTCTTTCTGAGCATGAAGAAGAGGTTTCTGAGCTTGGCAAGAATGATCTAGTGAAGAGGGAAGAGGCAGGTGAGAGAGAAGGGAGATGAATACCTATTGTTTGAGGAGATCTGGCCCAGAGCATGCTGGATTGGCTTTTTAAACATTACTTTTTGGGGAGAAATAATTTACAGCTTATGAAAAGTTGCAAAATAAAAGTAGTACAGAGAAGAGCCATACACCCTTTAGCCAGATTCACTTAATTGCTCACTTATTACCCCGTTTACCTTGTCGTCTGCACTTCCTACCTCTACCCCTTCCTCTCGCTGAGCCGTCCAAACCACCGCACGCTTATCCTAAGTTTATATTGTTACTTGTTTTTGATGTACTTTACCGTCTATATCCCAGTGTTGTCACTTCATCTGATTATGTCCTTAATAGCATCTTCCATGTATACAGGAATGAGTCCTTGGCATCACGTCTCTTTACCCTTCTTTAATCTGGGACATTTCTGCAGGCTTTTTTTTTTTTCTTTTTATAACATTGATATTTTTGAAGAAGTAGCCCAGCCCTTACTGTTTTGTGTTTTGAGAACAGCCCTCATCCTGTGTTTGTCTGATGCTTCTCTGTAATTAGGTGAAGGTTAAGTGTTCTCGCCAGAATCCTGCTCAGGTGACGTGTCCCTCTCAGGGTGCCACATCTGGAGGCACACATGTCTGTCTCTCATGGATGATGTTAATTTTTATCACCGGTCAAGATGTTGTCCAGTTTCTCCATTGTATTAGTTCTCTTTATATTTTCTTCTTTTGCAACTGATCAGCAGTCTGTGGAGAGACACATTTAAGACATTGCAAATAGTCTGCTTTTCATCAAAATTTTCCCCTAGATTTGGTCTGCATTTGTGATACTTGTCTGATCCAGTTTTTGCCATAATGATTACAAAGTAATGATTTTATAATCCAAGTGCCTCTTTCAGTTAGCCCTTGGTGTTTTTACTATAAGCAAGAGCCTTCCCTTTTTCTTGACTGATCAGTCTGTCTCTATTATCCGTATGGACACATTGAATTTGTATGTTTTTAAATGATTTCTAATTCATTACTTAATTATTTGGTGCTCAACTTGTCCCAGATTTGGCCACTGAGAGCCTCCTCCAGCTGGCTCCTGGGTCCTTTTGCCTGGTTTGACTTTTTCTTTGTTTTTAAAACTCTTTTTATTTATAAATTTTGGGTTTACAAAAGAGTTTACTGGATTGTTTTTTGGATACAAGGTTTGGTATCACCTATGAAACATGACTTTTTGAACAATATTATTGCTAGGGGAAGGTGTTTTGACATACTCCCTAACTTGATGGAATTTTAAAACCACAGATTTTAAATTTCTGATTAAAAATGTTCATACTTTCAAAATACTCAAATATTGTTTCTTTGTATTTAATTAGATTGTATCTTCTTGGAGAAGCCTTCCCTACATTTTTCCTTTGGGTTTCTATGTGAGTATTTGAATCTAGAAAGATTCCTGTCTTCTGGCAGAAGGATTTCCCACTTTTTTTTTTTTTTTTTTTTTGCGTTGGTAGGGTTTCTCTCCTTTAGGAGTTTCCTGAGAGTCAGTGAATGATTCTGTCTGGATGAAGATCTTCCACTACTCATTTTATTTATGTAGTGTTTCTACATAAATACATGTAGTTGCCGAAGGTACCCTCACATTCATTATTCTCATAGATTTTCTCCCTTATGCGTGTCCTTTGATTCTGCATTAGGGATTTGACTTCACATGGAAAGTTTTCTTTCCTTAACCAGTTTTCTGTTGTACAGACAGGTGTTATTCTGGAAGAGAGGGTTCCCATGTTCCTTACAGGTATAGTGAGTTCTCTGATGTAAAGTTTGCCTTCCAACAAATCCTCCTCCCATTCACTGTCCTTAATGCCCCCCATGTATTATCTCACATTTAGTAGATATGACTCCATAAAAAGGTTTCCCCTACCTGTGTTACTTTCATATGGTTTCTCTCCTATGTGGGTAATTTGTACGTTGAAGGGTAAATTCTGGTGGAAGGTTTTCCCATCTTCGTTACATTCTAAAGGTTTCTCTTGGGTGTGTGTGCTCTGATATAAAGTGAGGACTGGTCTGTGGCCAAAGGGTCTTCCAGGTGTGCCATTGTTAGTCTCCTCCACTGTCTTTTCTTTTCTCGTGATGTTTGAGAGAGGGTTGACTTGTGGCTGGAGCTGTTCTGTAAATTCCACGAACATTCCCTCTCCTTTCTGAGTTCTCTAATTCTTAAATTTGGACTCACATTTTTTCAGTCATAGAGTTTCCTTTTGATATTAGTTCTGATGTACATGGAAACTTTATGTTCTGGACAAGAGTTCCCCCATATTCACCACCTCCACCTGGTCTCTCCCACACCTGAGTTCTCTTGTGTATAATGAAGTCTGCCTTATTATGCAACATTTTCTGAAATTCATTATGGCCGGAGGATTGCTTCAGAACTAGAACTTTTTGATACTGAAAACAGTCTTTCCTAGGAGGCCTTTCCGCCTTTGATGATCTGCTCCGGGACCTGCTCCTGAAGGTGTTTCCTTGCATTTAATATCAAGGATATTATAGCTACTCTTGCATCCACTTCTCCAGCAGATCATTAGGGTGCTTCCTGCCATAGCCTCTTTTCCTAATGATTAATTTTTAAGTATATTTCAAAAGATTACAAAGTATATTAGTCATCTGAGAAATTCTGGGGAAGATTGGGTTGGAGGAATGAGATCGGAGTGTAGGTGCTTAGCACTTAGCTCCAAAATTACTGTGAAAGGGCTCTCCTTAGTCTACAGGCTTCCAGGCTTCCCCCTTCCTCCTGTGGTCCTGATATCAGTGGCAAATTAACCTTCTCAAAGCGTCACTTTCTTCATGACTAAAGGAGCAGACCTATAACCAAGGTCCTAACTTTCCAACCAGCTTCAATTCATGTCCCCTTCAAAGGGAGACAGACATCCAAGAGAAAGAGTGAAATGGCCATCCTAGCAAAAAGTCACTGCTGAACTCTGAATGCTGCTAACGTAATTTTTTTTTTCATTAGAACTGTTCAACACTGAACCAATTTTGCACCATCAACTCCTTCTTGTCTCCCTTTCAGTGACATGAGTCACATTTACATGTTATTTTTTTCTCTAACAGGAAGGGAGTATATGCACAGATTAATTGTTTACCAAATGTATTATCTCTCCTTAATGTTTTGCTCTTGAAGGAGAACTGAATGTTGGCCTTGGTTTTCTGGGAGCTATTTATACGAGTAATCAACTTTCCAAAGTTCTTCTGGGTAGCTGTGACTTGGGAATTCTCCCATTGACTGAAGCTCTTTTTACATCCAGACAAGGTAGTGCCCGGTCTCCAGCATGCCCCCCAAATAGCCCTCCATGCAGGGCCCAGTTTCTGCCTGGCTTCTTGGGGGAAGGTCCAGACTCACATCCTGCACTGACCCTGACTGGGCAAGGTCCTCACATTCCCCCAGGACCTAAACCTGGATGCCCAGACCATACTTCCCAAGAGCTTCTGGTCTCTCTAAAACGTAGGCTGTTTCCGTAGGGGTTCCTTGTGAAAATTAAGAAGAGTGGAAAGTTAAGTCAAAGCCACTAGACAGGAGAGAAAGAAAGTCACACTGGGAGAATTTGAGGGCAGCCAGAACGAATAGCAAAAAAGGTGCTAATGACATTTTTAATGCCTATAACCTAGCAAGCAAGTGAGTATCAGCAAAAACAATTTAGGCACTAGGAACAAGGAATTAATGGGAGAAGAAAAAAATCAAGCCCTTGTTTAAGGAAGCAGCAAATCAGTGTTGGGGTTGATTCCAATACAGACTATTGCTACCTAATTTTAGAGGGATTATTTCATTACAACTCTGTTCTCTGTGTTGCATTCCATATCTTCTCTAAGTATAGAATATGAAAGAAATTTGCAACTAGAAGAACCTAGAAAACGGTCATATATTCCCTTTTTTAAAATGAAGAAACCGGGCTCCAGAGAGAAATTAAAAAGGACCTTAATCCTGGAATTTGATGGTTCTTTGTTTACAGAGCACTTTTACAGGTGTTATTTATTGTTATTAAAGGTAAT